ACCGCAATTCTGTAAATTCCATTTTTGTCTCATGGAGGCCTACACATTATAATAACCTTGTTCCTTAAGATTAATTTTAATATTATCTTCCGATGAACTATGACACTCAAATTATAACAGGACTCTGTTACTGAAACTAAGGGGGGCCGGACGCACTACGTTAGTGCACGACCACTCATCTTAAAGCTAACATCTCCCTGACATTTCGAAAAATAAAAGTTTTATTATCTGACTCACTCTATTCTAAATTACCAGCGAGCGTTAACAAGTAAAACTCGTTTTATAGCGTGGTATAAACGCAAACAATAGGACACAAACAAGCAAACATTGTTTTGTTCCATTCTATTGTTTCCATTCTATAAACACTAGAAATGTTTACATGTGTGTATTTGTATTCACTGCCTTCCTCGAATGTGATTTTGTTTACAGATTTGCAAGATTTAGTCTTTTCAAAACAGGCACACAGAATATACACACACTAAATAGTTCTAAAGGCATTTTTGTTAACTTACTGAAACTCCGAATGAAAGAAAAAGTTTACGGAATACCAGAACAGGTTCTAATCGTTCTCCATGTAGACGAGGCAGAATTTGTCCCCACGTCATTGATTTCAAGACCATCACGAGCTTCTGAGGCGTTTGTGCGTGATGCATGTAGGGATCCACTCAGTGGTGGAGCGTTATGGTAACCGTGTTAACAAAGCTAACACTGAAAAACGAAAAATAAAGTCTTCTGTCTTACTTTCGTGGTCAAATGATACCACAAACACTGGAACGTAGCAGAACCGATGAGATAAACTGCATCGTTAGCCAGCTACATGAGGATTACATCCCCGGCGAGCTTAAGGCCCGTTTCACACCGTCGACCTGTCGCTGAACGACCACTAGGTAGAAAAGCTAAGTACGAGCTTAAACACGAGGGCGACCGCGACCAATGTCCGCCGTCGACCAACAAGCAGTGAGCGACGCACAGGAGACCAACGACCACGAGATACATAGATGGCAATCACGTGTTCACATTGCAGGCGACTCAGTCAGCGACCAGAGCTCAGAGGGGTGACATATCCATTGTTTCTTGTTTTCTCCCGTCTTGTTCATGTCACTCAAGTGATAAGTATATCACGAGTTTTGATACCGAAAGATTTATTTCGGCCGTAGAGTCACGAAGAGTCATTTCGGACCTTGCAAGTCCCGATTATGCAAACAGGGAGTTCAAAAAAAAGTCAGTGGGAAGATTGTTTTCTACTCCTCTTTTCCCTGTTTCTAGTGGAACGAATTTTTATCATTATAGTGATCTCCTCGATGTCTATACTGCTTGACTGCTTCCAAAGTATGAGGCTGAGGCCTTTGTCTGCGCTGGTCGCCCTGCTGGTCTCCTCGTTTGGTCGCTGATGGTGGTCGTTCAGCGACTGGGTCGCCGGCGACCGGTCGACAGTGTGAAACGGCCCTAAGTCTATGTTATTGCCTAAGTATGCATTGGTTAAATAGCCGTTGTGCTATGGCGAAGGTCTAAGATTTACAATTTTTGTCAAATAAATTTAAATCTAAATGTTATTAATATTGGAAAGGTAAGGAATGTTTCTTTTTGGGAAATATATTCCTGTTTTCAGTATTTTCAACGAGCCGTTGATTTTACTTGTTAGCACTATAACTCATGTACCATTTCTGCACTCCGATAGCTTATACATATACCAAATATTAGTTAGTAATTGTCATCAAGTAAAACATAGTTTATAAATATTAGAGAATTTTCTTATAAACAGGAAAGTACAATCGTATCCCAGTGCTTCAAACAGTAATGTTGGAATTTAAGATTATTACACCGAAATTGTTGCGGCAATGCATGCTGGGTCAAAACAACTCTTTATTTTGTACAGTCCAGATAACTCAACTGGTCACTGCAAACATACACATTATAGTGGCAGCCCCATTAATATTAAACATTACTTACATTCACAGTTTCTCGAAGAATATCACAAAGAATATCTTAGCAAACTCTATTCATGTAAAGCTCCTGTTAATTTTAAGCGTTTTAACTACATGAAGAGTTACAAATACTGCTTAAAATTTCATTGGAAAATTTTGTCTTTGTTCTTCGTATCTGAAGTTCAGTTAAGTTTACACTTTAAGTACCGGTAGGCAAGTTTTTATAATTTATTTACATAAAGACCGTTAAGAACTTCCTCGCCGATACGGTCAGCATTGTTACTTCTGTGACTTCAATTTCATTTTAAAGCGCCCCGCGCAGACAGAATATTAAAAAGAGGTCCCTTCCATATGTATGAGTTAAACAGCCACTTACTAAAACAAAACTTCTGAACTATACCATTTCTACTGTAGCTGGTGTTCTCAAACTTTCGATAATCCAGTGAACAGTCATTTTTACTTAACAATTACTATTATATTCAACAAATTTGTAAATTTACTTCTCCATAATTATGCACTTAAAATTAAATATTTAACCTATGCAGCAACAGTATTTCGTCATACAAAGTGATACAGTATTACAAATATTTGCTCTCTAAGAGCACGGACGGGATCTCCTACAATTACGGTACTCTGAGTACGAGGACGAAGATGGTTCTCGAAACGGTGTTTTCTTGATTAAACCACCTCACACGGCTGCTAGCCCGAGAAGAATTCATTATACATATAGAGATGTACCAGTATGAAAAATATGACGCTCATGTGAGTCATATTAAATACACTTCTCTTCAGGGTAGCTCGTAATCGGGGTTTCTTGCTTTGCTGTTTACTTTTCTACACTCAGCTGAATTATGTTTCTGATACAGAATGTATTTCATTATCTCGACCGTGATTGCACATAGATCATATAAATGAATTATTTTTCTTAACTGCAGAATACAAGCACGAACACAATCCTTGTAACAATGTAAACAAATACCATTTTGGAAATAAATAAAACCAGAAGCTCACACAAGATCTGAAAGATGAAAGAACGATAAAACTTTTTGTCGTACGAGAAAGAAGGCAGAAGAATGCCTTCCTCTCTGCTCAGAAAATTCTAAAAGAAATGATACAGATGTGGGAGGAAGAGAGGAAATAGCCGGAGATGTTTGAAATGCTGAGAAGAATACATTCTAAGAGTGAATGGGACGACGAGGTTGGGGAGAAAATCAAAGTTGATAGAAAAGTGAAGTCGGGAGGGAGAAAAAAAACGAGAAGGGACTGGGGGGAATGAATTAAACTTGAAGTTAAAAAGGCAAGAAGAAGGAATCCTTCCTTGAAACAAAATTATTATATATTTAACATCTAATTAATTTCACAGCAGCCCTAAATTTAAGTATAAATGCATGCTGAAAACTATGATAATGTGATTTGGTGCAAACAAGTACGTGTGCTATATGATTTTTGGTTTCGGTCATAAGCCGCGTCGATTTTTTAGAATTATTCGACGTTTCGGCAAACATTGTACTTGCCATCTTCGAGGTAAATGTGCAGTGGGTGGGCAAGCTTATCTACAGGCATACGTACATTATACATGAATACAATTTGGTAATGAAAAGAGGCTCTACAGAAATTAAATGAACATTTAAACTAAATCACCCGGTTCATGCGGTGCTGGAGCGTGAACTGCTGGGAGAAACTTAAAGCCGCTCTCTCATTACATTCTCTTTGTGTCCCTTGCAATGGCGGTACAATGAATCTCCGTAGCAACTAGCTTTAATAACTCAATCTGATAACTGACAGATTCACAGAGGCGCGACACCAACGGTGACACAAAAATTAGCAATTAATTTCAATTTACATCAAGTAACAGGTGTTTTCATTATCCGTCTTAACAGCAGACCTACGAAGGGGCAGAAAGCAAAGCGTAAAACCCCTGCACTCAAAATTCTTATAGGCGATTCCAACAAATGTTGGTTTACGATTTTAAGTTTTTCAATATTTTTTAATTAAAGCTGCTAACTTGCGCACTGCACTATTATGTGCAGGAAAGCAGTGTTGAGCCTACGTAAATATATCATTTAGAGGCGATTTTAATGAACTGATTTAGTGGCATATCTCATACGTTCCCATTTTGGGGGAAATCTTAAATTTATTTATAAACCAATTTCCTTCTTTGTTACCGCATGTACCATATACTTTAACAGTGAACGAGAGCAACCAAGCGCAATCTTATAAAATATACGTTGCTACTTTGTTTTAATCCAAGGGGGCAGCTACAGGGGTATCATCATCGTCATCGGCGTCATCATATCTGGAATACTGTCATATCTGTTGCGACGTCATGTCGTGTTTTTCACTTTTGTCGTCCTGATACGTCTTGACACTTCGAGAAATTGTCTACTTCGTTTATCTATAGAAGCATATTTTTTTAAAGAAACTGTACACTATAAGACCTTTTTTCGAGCTTGACTGCGCAGTACTTCGCAACTACTACTATCACCACTACCAGCAAAACTGCGTGTGCTTCGCTTACTTAAAGACATATTATCACCACTACCAGCAAAACTGCTTGTACTTCGCTTACTTAAAAACATACTATCACCACTACCAGCAAAACTGCTTGTGCTTCGCTTATTTAAAGACATATTCGACTTTTAAAGATTTTAAATTGTTATAATACCGTAATATTAATTATTATTATTCCAAATTTATTTAAACAATTTATAACTTGAAGCCGAGAGACTAATAATTTACCTCAGTTCTGTGGATTAATTAAGTTAAAACACAAATTAAAATTAGGCTTGAAGACTTTCACAAAACAGCCAAACGACGAATACGTCTTTCCTGTTCGCAAACTGAATGCAAAGTAAAACAGCGCACTCAAGCTTCGTCATATTAAAAACGCAGCTTTGTACTTGCACCAAATTTTGCACATGGAATAAAATACATCCGGTAAACACGCTCCCCTAGTCGGAGTTGTTCGTTTCATAATATTTTAGCTGGGAGGGCTTAAGTTGAAACACTTTTTCGAAGGAAAACAACCCACTCCCCCACCAGATAACAAAGCCATCCATTTATACACACAATTGTAGCCTTCAAATAATCTATAATGCTAAAATGTAATAAGGTAAAGTATATTAAAATAAAGATCCCTAATTACACCCTTCTATACAAAATCAGAATGATTGCCAAATTATCTGAACTTTATACCACGTAAAAGGGAAGTGAGACCCAGAATCGAACCCTGGATTATGCTGTAAGAAAAAAAGAATATCAACTGTAACATTTTTTCAGAACGCCACTTCTAACAGGTACGATAAAACCCTTTTATCGACCTTGCAGGACGATCACGGAAAGCCACAGTTCCTTGTTTAAACTACAGAAAATAAGAACTCTCGTTGGCACCGCGAACGTTAGGTCAGCGAGAGGTCGGGAAAAGTGTTCCTTTTACCAATGTCTTCCTGAAAGATACTACAAATTTAATGCAATATTACCTGCGTTAAAACCAAGCATTTGTAGAAGTCAGACTGAGAATGCGAAAGTTTAAAACAGGAAGCGCGCAATAAAGTAGGATTTTCAACTGACGTAACAAATCAACGACTAGGGTTATAAACATGGAGTTTAGTTCAGCACATTCAGAGATCTACTGGTTTCTTGTCCTATGCATTATTTGGTTTTAATCAAGAATAATTTGTCCGTGGACAGTGGTATATACATTACGATTCTCAAAGGGAGCAGTTGTACTTCTTCAACTAACGCATCCCTCTGATTGGTTTGTCCGCTTAAATAGTA